TCTGAGACAAGACGTCACAAGTATGCAGTAAAACTGGTAGAAGTAACGCGAGGCCCCGAGGCAATAAAAATATCCAGTGTAAGTAATCATTTTACGTTCTTAAGGGCCTCCACAGACTAGACACTTTGTTGTTGACAACTATTTGTTATCGACAACTAAGTCCTTCCCGTGTGTGGGAATCATCGGTTTAGTTATGGACTACTATCGAAACATGACACACATTTGAGGACGCGTATTGTGTTTTGAGCATGCGTAGTGAACGTTATTTCCCAAGCTCTCGCTGACTGACTTGGTTATCGACAACTAAGTGTCTAGACTTTGGAAGCCCTAAGGCCTTCATGACAATAATGCTTCACTTCAAGAATGAGGTGATGACTCTCAGGAGAAAAGAATTCAACAGAGAGAACAAGAAAATTTCAGCATTCTTGACAACAACCTGGAGATCAGTGCAGTGGAAGTCAAGAAGATTTCTCTCAGTAGACTAACAGATTGAGGTGGAAGAAGAGAGAGAGAGAGAGACCACATTGAGAAAAGCCTGGAATCCAGTGGAAGAAATTTGGAGATGGCACTCTGTTGTTGAAGAAAGAACCTGGCAAGTGAAATAGTACATACATAATAAATCAATCAGAAAAACAAAAGATACAAAGAAAAAATTCTGAAGATTGATCAGTACGTAACTTCTTGGAAAATCAGTGCATTATCAAAGAGGAAGATGAGGAGAAGAAAGGAAACCATCAATCGAAAAACTACAACCTTGATCTAACATGACACTACTAGCACTAACATTGAAAACAAAGACAGCGGGAAATCATAAACGAGAATTAATGTTTGAGTTTGGAAATTTAAATGAGAAATTCAAAGCAAAGGCTTCTGATAAATGAAGAGTAAATAYGTTTAAATGCAGAAACTGAGGAAGAGTATTAGGAATAGGTTTGAAATTAGAAAGTGTTTTAGTAAGTGTAACGTTTTGAGCAACGGAAGCAATAGCTACGAAAAAACATACAATGAGCAAGTAGTTTCATCCTAAGGGATGTCACACAGGGAATTTCTGACCAATCTGTTAAAGACCGTTATGTTATAAAGAGACAAAGCGAGAGTACAAAGCCTTACTGAGTCAGTCAAGAGCAGAGGAGACAAAGGAAGCCTCAGAAGTAGTTTCATCATCAGAACAGTCAGAGGAATATTCATCAAGGCCAAGATACCAGTCAATATCCCAATCTACAAAGATAGCTTTAAAATCAGACAAAGTTTTGTATCACATGTATCACATTTTTACGACTCCTAGAACAAAATTCAAAGTGACCGCATCTAGCCAATCACAACACGCATAGATAAAGCAAGAACCAATCAGAATTAAAAGCAATATCACGACACTGGTGCTAAGCGCGGGAAAAATAACATGTAACTAGTACCATTTGTAATAATTATATCAAACACGAAAGATCGTGTTTGACCATACTTGAGTGTTTGATATATCTTTTCAATCGAAACTAAAACTAAGGGGAAACGAAGAACTAAAATCTTAAAAATCTCTGTTAATTAAGATCAGAGATCCAAACACCGTCACGGTCATGATTTCCTCTGTTTTAACCTGATGAATCATTAATGAGTTTGACAAGTGCAAAGAAAAAACAACGATTGATCAGATAT